TCTTTAGTCAAGCGTATTCACAAAGAGTATCTTTTGCATAATATTTGTGGTTTAGTACATTAACGTGGGTACTTATTGACACTTGGAATTTATCACAGCCATTTTGTAAATTTGTTGCTTGTTTTATGTAGATAAATGAAGTTAAACATAGAAAACTATCCAAGGACAAGGTACAAAATCAGAAATTTGTTTCTCCTGTTTCCAGTATTGAAAAGGAAGCTTGAATTTTTTTAGGTCTTATAAAACCTTTTCCTGAAGTTAATAATAATGACAATAATGCATTAAACCACTTAATTTTAATGATATTCTGCTTTCTCAGAGGAACATATTCTCTGTTGATCTGATTTCTTCTTACTAGAAAATAGAGTAGGTAAGTAGGTCAGTGCAGTGCTAAAAGCAAAATGTAAGCACTCTCACCACCCTCCCAATATCATTAGGTTTTCATCTTGGCTCTTAGACTCATACCAACAATATCCCCTGGCTCCATGCTCTTGATTTATGGTCCCATTCCATTTGGCACCTGTCCTAGAGGAGTCTTAGAGTAGGTTCTTTGCCAAGATCAAATGCAGAATTGGTATACAGGATCTTGTTGAAATTCTTAGGCAAGGTGCCTACAGATGTATGTGTCTTTGTTCAAGATCTGTAAGTGGTCACAGAATCCATGTGAAACACTGCCTCGGGCTTTCTCCAAAGAAGTCCAGTTCATGTAACCAGAAGGGGAAACAATTGGCTTTTAAGTCTTACTGTATCCATATTTTAGTGTCATGATTTCTTGTGGGTGTTACATAGGAAAAGGCATATTACCCCCATGGCTCTCATTTGCTTCATCTCTAAAATGAAGGTGATTCCAACTGGAGCTATTGTGATGTGTGTGACAATTACTTGGCAAAGGTTTCTGGCAGAGGGTATTCCCTCTGTAAATTTATTCGAATTTGAATTCTAAATTTCTGCACTATAAAAAGGTATTACACTGGACTCCAAGGAAGGTAAGGAGTGAAGAAAAGCAAGCTAGTCCTAATTTTCTAAGTCAATCAAATTCTTTTTTTTTATTTTTTTACTCTCAGTAGAGGGTTTTGCTGAGATTGGGATATATGTATCTATAATTCTCTTTGAAGAATACCTTGGCTGACTATGACCTCTGTCAGAGAATCCCCAAATGCTTAACTTAAAACATAATTAACATATAATCTTTGGCTTACTCAGAAGCATCTATGCCTACAGCCCATGAGAACAGAAGTTACCAGACTGTCAAGAGAAATGAGCTTCAGCCATTTCCTTTGGATTCAGAGTCCAAAGGAAAAGCTTAGGTGTATTAAACCAATTTTTAAAAATTGTTAGATACATCAAGATGCAGTGACAATAGGAGAGTCACTGTGATATGAACACCTCTCCCAAATAAAAATTTTGGCTGAGAATTTTTGGTGGTGGTTTTAATTTATACTAGAATTGTTGTACATTTCACAATAGAAAAAATGGTAATTTTCAAAATGGGAGACAAGGAAGGATGTAAATAAGGATGTGTGACAGCTACTCACCAAAGTGACGCTGACACTTCTGAAGGCATCTGGACAAACAGGGATCTTATGTGATGACTGAGAAGATACAGTATTCAAAGCAGTCCTAAAGGCTCTTAAGTTGAGTGCTAGCAGCTTGTTTCCCACACATAGAAAGAAGAACCATATGTATAAGTTTTTTCTAATATTGCTTGTTTTTATCTGGGAGTGTGATTCTAGAGGCCCAGTAGGACTTGCTCTGGAATTTGCCTTCCTCTTGATTTGTTATGAGCTGTCTGCACTCTATTCAAGCTAGACTTACAGAATGTTTGGCCACATGGTGGATTAAAAATACTTTGCAAATTTGGATCCAGGGGCATAGATTTGGATTCTAACTATAGTTTATAATCTGGTAACCATAGGAACAGAATGTATTTCTCAGATGTTGGCATTTGAAAAATTCTAGTTTCTCATAGGGTTGTCTTGAGGATTAAAAATGTAAAGTACTGCCAGATGTTGTGGTCCACCCATGTAATCTTAGCTCTTGCTAGGCAGAGGCAAGTAGATCTCTGTGAGTTAAAGGCCAAGCTGTTCTATATAGCCAATGCAGACTAGCCAGGCAGGTCTACATAGTGAGACTGTCTGAAAAACAGTTACAAAACCAATGAACAAAAAATGTAAAGTACACAGCATAGTATTGGTATATGTAAGATACTATCATTACTAAGGATATGATTTGTGTTTGAATTTATACCCCAAAAAGAGTTTTAATTGAAAAATAGATGTGTGGTGGTCACTCACAGTAATAATAGCAGAAATTTATAGAACACTTATTCTGGATCCCATGTTACTCTATGGGACAGAATCTCTTGTTGCCATTTTATAAATGAAGAATCTGAAGTTCAAAGTAGCAAGCACAGTTAGAAAGCGATGATGCCAGGAACAGAGACCACACATTTCCCCACTACTCTTCCTGCCCTTTGAATGATGTCTCCAGGTGTCTAAGAAGAACAGCTGACTGGGAGAGATTCTAAATAAGCACTTTCACCTATATAAAGACCAAAGGAATAAACCTTCATCACTCTCTGCAGCTTTCCTCCCTTTTGGACTTAGTGAGTTTCTGTTATTTGGAAAAGCATAAAAGGAATGTTCTTTGGAGATCTGAAAGTTAACAAGTGCTCCAGAATTCTAAGTTTAGATATTAGATAAGTATACCGTGGCCTAACTCTTGCACTACATTAATCATGGTCCAACTTCTGCTTTCTGTTAGCTTAGACCTGTGGCAATACCTTCCTCTTTTCATTTAGCTGGTTGTCAACAGCACTAACCACGAGTCTTTCCTGTGCCAAAAGTGAGTCTTGCCACACGCTCAGCTATCAGAGTGCTGTAAACACTGTATAGTCTGCTGCAAAGAATCGTGCTACCTTCAGCCTGTGCAGTCACAGCTCCACAGGTTAAACTGTTTATTGAATTCTCAGTGATTGGAAATAACGAGAGGTGCATGAGAACAAGATAAATGATCTAGCTCTAATATAAACAAGCATTGCATTATACCTGAATTGTTGAAAAGAGATCTTGTACTCTATTTTATTTAGTGGAACATTTTTATAACAATAAGGTTGATTTGAAAATACTTCAAGTTGGACACTCTGTTTATTTAAAAGATTAAAAAAAACAAAGTGGTAAAATAGAGAGGTAGAGGTAGTAGTGTGTGTGTGTGTGTGTGTGTGTGTGTGTGTGTGTGTGTGTGTGTGTATGTTCCCATGCTAAAGAATTCAGACATGCCAGTTTTTGTTTGTTTGTTTATTTGTTTCAGGGCTCAGATCTGGTGAGCCTAGACCTGTAGCAGCTTTAGAGTGTTTTGTTTGTTTTGTCTTTTTCTTTGAGACAGGGCTTTTCTCTGTAACTTTGTAGACCAGGCTGGCCTGGAACTCACAGAGATCCGCCTGCCTCTGCCTCCCAAGTGCTGGGATTAAAGGCGTGCACCACCACCGCCTGGTTTAGAGTATTCTTTTTATTTGTGTTTTTTGCAACAAAACAAGAAACTCTGTTAAGATCTTTTTCCAGTAAATTTTTGGTATTTTCTAAGGCTACAGTGAGGCTACATTTGCCATTTACAGGTTAGTGTATCCTCTTTGTCCTCCTTATAGAATAGCCTCCTGCAAGTCTACAGATACTGGGCTGCTGGCTTTGCAGTTGCTCAGGTACTTTTTATTTCCTCATACTGAGGAACCGGACCACCAGTACTCTTTTACAAACAGGCACATCCTGAAACATTTAGTCTTCTTAAGAAAGAAGCTGGGATATACAGTGTGCTGCTTGAGGGTTATGAAGAAAACAGGTGTTTGGTTTGCTTTGTTATTCTAGTACAAAGGGATTGTCTAAAATAAAAAGGAATGACTTCTTCACCATATCAGGCTTGAAACAAGTGTTCTTTCCCAAATGTGGATCTGGGAAATGATAGAAAGAAAGACATAAAAGCTTATGTTTTAATTCTTTGTATATACCCCAAATATTTACTGAAGCTAGGAGAAGAAAAGGAAGATCTTTTTTTTTCCTTTCCCAAACGTGTGATTGTTTAGAACTTAAGTGCAACATCTGGAAGTCAGATATACAGAGAGCAATTTATGGAGTGTGAAAGATTTAAAATATTCAGTGTCCTTTAGTGGGAACTCAACTTTCTGTGCTGTATTTTTTCCCCAACACAAAGCAAGCAATTCTGAGATCACTTTTGCTTCTCTGAATTAAGCCCTTTGTGCTTGGGTCCCATAAACAATGTGCTTTTTAAAGGGGAGCCCCCCCTCAAAGCTCTGGCCCTTTCCTTCAGTGCAGGCAGCCAATCAGCTGCACCGAGCTGCATAGCTGGAGCACTTTCCTTTCTGAGCAGCAACAACGTACTAATTTGATGCACACATGGATGCCTCTTACACTCTGCAAATTCATCACCAGCATCTTGCATTAGTCATCTGATGGACTGCCAAGTGTTTCATTTTCTTTCCATGTGACTTTATTATTACCACCTCTAGCTCCCCTCTTCCAAAGCCTCTGAAAAAGGGCAGGGAAGGGGGAGAGGGTGAGAAATCCAACAGAAATCCAGCTCTGCCTTTCTTTCCTGGCGATAACCGGTGCAGAGCTGATAATGCTGCCGATTTGTGATGTGTTGATGGCAGCCTTGCCGACTGAGACCTGCACTTAACTTGCAGCTGCCTCCCAAGCCTGGGTTCTGAGATGTCCATGCCCTGGGTGACGGAGCCAGGCACTGCCCTGTGCTTGGGAGTCAGTGCTGAACAGCAGCAGCATGCAATGAAAGCATCGCGCTGCTGCTGAGAAGCAGCCTAATGGTGCCTCTGCTTTGTTTTAGTTCATCAAATGTCTACGAGTCATTAGGCACTTTCCCCTGTGCTCCTCTTCCTCTTTCCGCCTTCTCACCCCCAACCCCCACTATTTTTTTCTTCCTGTCCTTCACCCCGAAGCCCTAACTCTGGCTCCTGGTTCCGTTTTTGACAGTAACGGCACAGCCAACAAGATGAACGGAGCTTTGGATCATTCAGACCAACCAGACCCAGATGCCATTAAGATGTTTGTCGGACAGATCCCTAGATCCTGGTCAGAAAAGGAGCTGAAAGAACTTTTTGAGCCTTATGGAGCTGTCTACCAGATCAACGTCCTCCGGGACCGGAGTCAGAACCCTCCCCAGAGTAAAGGTACAGAATGCATGTGGCTCATGGGGTAGGGGTCACTCAGGTGTCAGGGTGGGCTTAGTGGCTGGGGTGGGCATCCCTGGGCTGGCCAGAGCTCCCAGAGCCTTCCATCTGCAGGAGGGATGGCGACAAAGAGGAAGGAAAGGCAGCCTGAGAGCTAGCTGCTGGTGCTGGCAGCCCTGGTGTTCTGACTATGCCTCAGGGCTCCTCCCAGAACTCCCGCCTGCTGGGACAGGTGGGACTCAAGAAGGAGGGCAGGAATGCTGCCCAGCTTTTATAGTTCCCTGGTTGCTCCTATGAGGTCACTTTCTAAGCATTGTGGCCTCTGGGTGGGGTTGCTGACCCTGTAAGGAACAATGTTTCTCAGCCTTGTATTTCAGGAGATAACTCTGTGCTACCTTCCCATGATTACAAATATAATACACTTTCCCATAGCCTGTAGACCTTGAAATGACTTGCAAACTGTTAGTGTGATGCCACTGGTGGGGAAAAGAGTTTGAGGATGGACATCCATTCTTGGAAGTCAGTAGGGATCATTAGGGGAACTGTGCCTGCTAGAGCCAGGGGTAGTGCCTTAGTAGCATGACACAATTAACACCTTTAGAAATACTCAAGGCTCACACCCTTATAGGGGGTAAGATTAAACAGAAAAGTCTAGTGCTTATTGCTGCCTCCATTTTAAGAGAATGGTGATGGGGTGGAGGTTGCAATTATTAAAATAGAGGCCAAGAATTATACAAGGCTGATGCTTCTGTGTTCTTTAGTCCTACGTTGTAAGCTCTGTAGAGACTATATTTAAAATACCTCCTCTGCTGCTACTGCTTGGTTTCTGTCTCTATTTAAACCTTCTTATTTAGTAATGTTGTTCTTTTTTGGTCTCTCCTCTCAGGGCCTCTCTGTCTTCTGTGGATATCCCACTTCCTTTTTCTCTGTGCCTTGCTATGTCTTTCTAGCCTGTTTTATTTTTATGCACATCTTGTAAGAGGGAGCTCATTGCCTGGCTTGTATGTGCTCTTTAGGTAGGCACATGAACCTTTCTTTGAGTCTTTTGAAAATAGAAGAGTAAGAAAATGTTAAGGCCAACATTCTGTAATTCTGTGAAGTGCTCAGCCATCTCCTGTTCTCTATGGTGCTAAGGACTGTTGAGCTTTGGCGAGCTTTTAAAAGGAATTGAAAAGCCCATAGCAAGCCGGGCAGTGGTGGCGCAAGCCTTTAATCCCAGCACTCGGGAGGCAGAGGTAGGCAGATCTCTGTGAGTTCGAGGCTGGGCTGGACCGATAGCCTCCAAAACAATACAGAGAAACCCTGTCTCGTAAAAACAAACAAACAAACAAAAAACAAAACAAAAAACAAAAAAAAGCCCATAGCAAATACTCACTTTGTAAAGGTAGACCAACTTGCCTTCAGATTTTGTTAATGAACTAGGTTTTTTTTCAAACATCCTATGTAACACTACAGCTATTAAAGAGACTAGAATTTTGTGTCTACAAATCTGATTGCCTATAATTACAAAAGTAGAAACTCAGATCTAAAATCAGTAAGATATAAAACCTCAGAAATCAGGGTTATATTAAAGACCTTTATGAATATTTAGATATTTTCCACACACAAAAAAATTAGTTCATTTTGATACTTTAATAGTATCCTACTTAGGAAACATGCTATAAAACATGGTTATCAACTAATAGTTTTCTAATTAGCATCCTTCCCATCTCTTAAAGTAGTACCCAAAGAAAACTTAAGTATGCCAGCATGCACATTTCTTCCTTACCTGGGAAAATGGGACACTGAAATTGGATTTATTGGTATTTTTCAAAATGACCTCTGGCAAAATATCAGAACTCATTTATTATTATGATGCCTGACTGATTGCTTTATATCTTTGGGGTGTATGTTCCTTACATTGGCCCAAAAGACCTTTTTCCCTGTCAAGTATATTCTATGTATGGCTTAGTTATGCTACCATTTCCTCTGTCTTTTCCGTACATGTCTCACTCATACCTTATCCAGACTAAGTTTGAGACTTTTTACATTGTTGATTTTGTTCACTGGGTCTTCTAAGTATTTCATGAAAGTAGTTTGCAGAAATCCCAGCTCTTGAAGAGGGAGGGAAGCCAAATAAGAGAACATAAGGGGGTATATGCAGTATTTTAGGTCTTCTAGTAAGAGCTTTATTTATGTTTTCATTTATCTTTTATCAAAAACTTGAAGATATATAGTGTAAGTCTCAGTGTACAGATGAAGATACCGAGGCTCAAAAAAGTTAAGAAATGTAGCCCAGTTTCTCCCACTAGAATTGTATATCTGACCACTATTCATCAGTCTTCAGACACTTGACTATTTTGTTGCTGAATGCAATGAGATCAAAACATCACCATCTGCTCCATTTCATGGCTTCATTTTCATGGCTAAGTGTTCCCTAAGTGAAAGGAAAAGATTTTTCTCTTTAAGAGCACTGATGGTTTCATTTCTTTCATTTCTGCCTTTGTGTTTAACTTTTATACTCATGGGTTTGGGTAGTTATCACTCAGATTCATGGTATCATGGGATAGGAGACAATTCCCATTATTGTGAACTCCAAGTCTCACATCAAATATTGCATGAAATATGTGGGCTGTCAGCTAAAGCTTGAAAGGGTTTTGTTATACAGACATCTCTGTTGTAAAGGTATTTGTTGGGTGGGATTTGGGTTATATAATGACATTGCTCTCAAAGGATTACAGTTCTTAACTGCTTACATGTGGAAAGCAACAACTTCCATTTTCTTCACATCAGTAGTATTGGTGCATACTGTATGTAATTATACCAATTCATATGTAAAGCTGAACCCCAAGTTTACATTGATTTTGACTCTGACAACAAAATACAGTCACCATACTTTCACAGCACTGATGTCAGAGCCTCAGAACCTAGAAATATTGGAGGCTTTGTCTAAATGTGGTATAAATTATCTAAGCAAGGTTTTTGGATGGCCTTGGTTCATTGCCTCGTTGGCCTTGATGGTTCCAAGGAAAGAAACAAAAGATATACTATTACCTAATCCAGGTGAATTAGGTCTTTTCTTTTTCTTTGCATTTTATGTTCTGTTTTGTCTTGACGTGTACAAGCTTTACCCTGTTCTCATCCTTGAGGAGTGTAAGTCTAAGCTGTCTCTTTCTTCTTCTTCTTTTTTTTTCTTTCTTTTTTTTTTTTTTTTTTTTTTTGGTTTTTCGAGACAGAGTTTCTATGTGCTTTGGAGCCTGTCCTGGAATTAGCTCTTGTAGACCAGGCTGGTCTCGAACTCACAGAGATCCGCCTGCCTCTGCCTCCAGAGTGCTGGGATTAAAGGTGTGAGCCACCACCGCCCGGCTCTTTCTTCTTATTATAGATGTGTTATCCAAGCAGTTTTGGAAACTAGTGAATCTAGTAAACTGTCCTAAACTGTTAGGACGTAAGAGAAACTTTTAAAAAATTTCTCTGTGTTTTATATGTGTACATGTATGTTTGCGTGCATAAGTGTGAGCGCAAATGTGGAGATCAGAGGATGACCTTAGGTGCCAGGACATACCTTCCACCCTGTTTGATTTCTTTACTGTTTGCTCCTGTGTATGCCAGTGAAACCAATCGGCCTGTAAGCTTACATGGAGGCTGTCTTTTCCTCTATTCTTGTTGTAGGAGTGTACAGTTGCAATGTGTGCTACTACACTTGACTTTACAAAGATCTGCAGAGCTGAACTCAGATTCTCACATTTGAATAGCAGATACTTTGCTCACCCAGCCATTTCCCCAGCCTAAGAGGAACATGTTTTATTCAGTGATTATTTGCGAACTCTGCAAATGATGAGAAATAGTCCATAGTGGGTTAAAATATGGCCTTTTAAAACCAGAAGTGCCTAAATCCAATTCTTGACTCTGATTCTCTTTAAGTGTTTCACTTGAGTACTTCACTTAATCATATCAAAAAATTGGACAGTCCATAGAATGCTGTGTTAGTAATGTACCATGCTGGAATATGGTAGGAACTTGTTATAAGAGATTATTATTATAGCTGCTATCTTTATCCTGACTGTCTTTTAAGAACTTAAAATCCAAGAAGAACATTAAAGTAAATTTATAGGTCACTACAATAAAAAAGAATGTGAGATACTAGTAACTACAAAAGAAGAAGACATATACATTGAAATTAGAGTTCACAGAAGAAATAAATAAATTTTCTTTTATTCGGTATATGAAAAGATAGCATCTTTACAAAATTTTGAAATCAGTAGTAGAATTTTAGTGATTAGAGATGATGGTAAACATTGCAAGTGAATGGACTAGCTTAACTTAATTCAAACAAAAAAGGAACGAGTATATCAGAGTATAGTCTGAAAGCTGAAGTCTCACTGATGTGAAATATGTAAAATGAAATAGAAGAAAGGAAAATTACAAAGCTAATAATTTATATGAGAGTTTTAGGGAATCCTCATTTTTAGAATTAAAAAATTAAAATTTTCTTTTAAATAAAGTAGGATCTAGAAAGTCTACTTAAACAAAACACCATAAAGAAATGATTGTAGTCTGTTATCATGTACTCAGAGAATAATGTTTCCTTTCCTGAGAATGTCAAGGAAAGGTGTGACTGACTGGGGTATAAACAGCAGTGTAAAGAAGGAAAATTGATAAATAAATTAGAGCAGCAATAATGGAGGAGTTTTAGGTTATCTGAAAGAAATGAGGAAGGAATCAGCAATGGTGAGAGAATGGTAATAAGGAGAAAATTTTGAAAACAGGTTCAATTTTGAGGTGCCCCTAAAGGGTCAAGAAGAATGAGGGTCAAGAAAACACATTGAATGTTGTGACTGTGAGGACTATACAGCATTTCAGGAGCAAGGTGACATTCCAGGAGAGAGAAGATGAGGAGTTGAAGGTGTGTGTATGGGGCTGCGAGTATAGATTCTCCATTACTAGTACCTTGATCATGAAAGAACGTGTGCATACACACGTGTGCGCACACACACACACACACATACACACACACACAC